AAGGGAAACAGATTTTCTTGACAAGTTCACCAAGAGACCTTTTTTCGACACACGGCTGTGTCCGTGTACGCTCCCCGGTCAAGATACTGTAATACTATTAAATAGATACTCCCCGTGGACACGAGACCCGATCTCCGCCACTCCGCTGTCGACCCTTGCGTGAGTCCGAAAGCCTGGCCCCCAACTAAACAGAGCCGTCTGAATGTCTGAATAAAAAGCAGCTGTCATCCCCATGAATTGCCCGGGCTGGTGACCCAAAGTATGACAGTGAGGCACGCACGGGTCATCAGTGGGAGAGACAGAGCTGTTAGGCTAGACGGCAGCAGTTACGTGGAGCCACATTCCTGAAGGGTTTAACTCGGAACACCCACGGCCAAGAGCTTACATTACGCGTGCCAGTTAAAATACATTGATATAATCTCTTAAAGTAAATTAAATGTATATTATATATATATATGTGTGTGTGTGTGTGTGTATCGTGTATATATACATATTTAAAGGGTAAAGAGCTAATAATTGTTGATCGCAATGAATTTGGAAAGATGGCTAGTTTGTCTGAGAAATGCACGCGTGCACGATTCAGACCTTAAATAACAAATCTGCTGGCCAATTTAGTTAGTACACAATGCGGTTATTTACGGTTTGTCGTGTGCCAAATCAGTATTGGAAACACAGACCGCAATAAAACACACTGAATCGTGTTTCAGGGAATCAAAACGGGGTTCAACAAACTATCGAATAAGTCGTTCAATCTTAAACTGAAATAAGGCAACGTTGTTAATTGTGCGATGCTGTGTGAGGGACGGCGTTGGAGTCGTATGAAGGAGTAGTAGCGCAGGATATGTGAAAGCGTGAATGGAAAGAAGAAAAAAAAACGCGGCAATATAAAGAAAGTTTCGGTTAAAAGCCTTCGTCGGCAGGATAAACTGGACGATAAAAAGAAAGTTTCGGTTAAAAGCCTTCGTCGGCAGGATAAACTGGACGATAAAAAGAACGTTTCGGCGGAAAGCCTTCGCCGGCAGGGGAAACAAATTGGACAGTAAAGAGAGCGTTTCGGCTAATAGCCGTCGTCGTCAGAAACAAACTGGACTGTAAAAGAAATATTTCGGCTGAAAGCATCCAAGCATACATCGGCAGAAAAGAAAAACAACAAGAAACAAGAAGTGCTACACTCTTCGCGAAATTAAGCCCAATACATTTTAAACTACAAGCAGTTTAAATCGGGTGTTCTATCCAAGTTTTAGACCCCCTGATCTAGATATTAAACTGATCGGAAAAAAATCAGTAGAGCGCGTAGTTATCGTTCATCGAATCTTCCCCGATGGTCTGGCAATACATCATTAGCCAGTGGCATCTAAGATTTTTGGCACCGATGACGTCTAGCGTCTGGAAGGCTGGTGCGCAATATGTCAAAACGTTTGATCAGTGTGCGCTGATGGTGCGTGGAGCTCTCATGTTGGCAGCCGGACATCAACTTTTAATTCAACGCACCAGATGAAGAAACACCACCGGATGAAGCAGGAGTTTCCAGGCGCACGATGAACTCGCTTGATTGAACTGAGATAACAGGAGATCTCTCGTGTCATTTTTCCACAAAAATATGCATAAAACCTTAGACCTAAATGTTAAATTGCTCCGAAGTCCCCCAATTAGTCTACGATAAGACCCATAAACAAGTCTTACATTTGACAGCTTTAGGCCTGGCTGTCCTGAACCTGATGAAATACGACAAACCATAAGTTGTAAACAGGCGCAGGGAGAAACGAGGCAAAAACAGCCACTACCCAGTGTACACTTGGTCTCTCACGTGTACACTCGGTCTCTTGCGAGTACACTTGGTCTCTCGCGGGTACACTTGGTCTCTCGCGTGTACACTTGGTCTCTCGCGTGCACACTTGGTCTTTCGCGTGTACACTTGGTCTCTCGCGTGCACACTTGGTCTCTCGCGTGGACACTTGGTCTCTCACGTGTACACTTGTAAACTTAGTCTTTCACGTGTACACTTGGTCTTTCACGAGCAACCTTGTACAATTGGTCCTGGCCCACTTCAAACATCAAGCTGGACGAAGCTGACTTCTAAAATCGATTCCACTGAAACATCTCAATGATCGAAACATCTCAAAGATTGAAACATCTCAATGATTGAAACATCTTAATGATTGCAACATCTTAATGATCGAAACGTTTCAATCTTGGGCTGACGTCAAGAACTCTTCGGGAAATGACCAATATCTGTTAACGCCAGATACCACCGTGGTGTCCTGGGCTTATCATACGACACTTTAAAATTTAATGACCAAATTATAGGAAGCCCCACCCCCAAATTAGTTTTCTAAAACAGACCGAATGATTGGTCAATCAACAGAGGTTTTGAGGTGTTGGGTTACAGCGATGGCAACGGGTGGAACGAAGGTGGGTCATCCATAATTTAAAATGACAAGATTCATTTTTTTTTTTTCTTTTCTGATTAGATGTGAAATGGGTATTTTTGAAATTAACTATCCCTCTGTGAATCGTCCGCCATTAGACCAGTATCCTGTCGCCGTGTGGTGATTGGTCGGTAATTGAAGGCAGGCGCGAGCTGGGGAAGAGTGTCATTTACGGTAAATTACCCCGTCATTGCCGTTTACCGATATAGCCAGACTTCAAGAGAAAGGGCAGCCGGCCTGTTGCTTTACAGCAACAACAAAAAAAAAACAACATTTATACACAATTTAATTTTCAATTCTGTTTAGTTTCAAAGAAGTGATTTGATGGCGCTGTCGTGCGCCCCCCCCCCCAACCCAGGTCGGAGTTTTGACTTTGACAGCACGTAGTACCAGAACTCATTTCATGGACAGGAAGAGTTCAATGGCGGTAGTAGGTAATGTGGTTAGAGATTAAATGGAGGAGAGTAGAGAGAAAAGAAAGAAAAAAGAAAAAAAAAAAGGGGGGGGGGGAAAACAAAAAGTCAGTTCGTGGAATATATTTGAACCAAAAAAAAAAGGAAATTGAATATATTGAGTTCAATGGCGGTAGTAGGTAATGTGGTTAGAGATTAAATGGAGGAGAGTAGAGAGAAAAGAAAGAAAAAAGAAAAAAAAAAAGGGGGGGGGGGAATACGAAGAGTCAGTTCGTGGAATATATTTGAACCAAATAAAAAAGGAAATTGCATATATTGCAGCAAGACCAACATCTTCTTTATCGTAAAGCGACAAAATATACATATTTTTTGGACAAAGTTAACAGTGTCACTGACAGTGTCACTGACAGTGACAGAAGAATCATTGCCTTATGACAGATGACCGATACCTAACTAATAACAGTACACCGATAAATAACATCTTTCATTGCTGACTCATTTGGACCGATTAGTTGAGTGAGCTGAAGATTTTCTACTGTGAACCAAACACGTCGTCTGGGTAAATAGAGAAAACTTCCAGCGGGAGTCTTACTAAACACTATTCCCACACGTGATGTGCTATTTAGACGTGTTTACACTAATGCCGGACACAATCGAATCCAATGGGGAAAACAATGTCAGTATGAGTTTCACATATTTTTTTGAAGTGTGAATCAAATCATAATTTAGTCAGACGTGTTTTATCTGTAGAATTCACCACCAGTTAAGACAGTTATTAAAAAAATGAAGCTAGCAGAGTTGGCCAATTTTTATTTTATTTTTTTCTTAAAAGAGGAAATACGGTAATGGTTGGAAAACCCGGCTTGACTTTTTGTCACCAAAGTGATTGCAGGGAAGCCACCAGGAGATATGGGGGGGGGGGGGGGGGGGGGGGGGGAAGAGAACAAAAATAACATAACCCAATGGTCATTCAACAAACAGTACATATTGGATTTACCCTGAGTCAAAAATCAGTACCTCCTTGACAGCCCTAATGAGTAGTGTATTCAAATATGTAACATTATTACATCGTAACTAGTTTTGATGAGGAAACTAATGTTGCCGGTTTGCAAATGAGCAAGTCTAAATAAATCCTCTTATCGGACCTGCTCAAATATTTGTTTGCGTTGAAGTTTTCTAAATTTTTCTAATTCTGAAAGAATGCTACATAAATTATCTTATTTCACATCAACTAATATAGAATTCAAGGTAAAACAAAAAGAAATTTTAAGTATCGAAGCACTGGGTTCTCAGATGATATCATGATGCTTAATAAGTTAAATTTATTTATTTTTTTTGGCTATGAAAAACATCAGAGAGGAAAGTTTAAGAAACAGAACAAATAATTTAAACAGTAAATTGGCCGCATCCTGAGTCCTTGCTGGAGAGACACAGCAAAACGACATGTTTAGGACTTTTTTTTTCCTTTCAAAACTATCACTACCATGGTTATGGATAAGACCCAACAAATTCAAGAAGACAATGGTGTAGTGTTTTGTAATTAGAGACAATTTTGGTTTCAAAGTTGAAGTAGTTAAAAAGGTGATTTTCCTGGGAATAAAGTAATCATATCATATAAATCCCAAGGTGGTGATGTCCGCCATGATTGTGCACTGAGATGCACTCTTCTTTGCTGCCTCCCCCCCCCCCTGGCCATGCGCACCAAATAACACATTAAAGTATAGTCAATACATGTACAACTAAGCATTGGTGGATAACTAAGCATATGGGGCAGCATAGGGAATCATTGGTACAGATTATGCACCTCTTCCTGTATTGTACACTTGAAAACAACGTAGCTGCTTTGCCCCAGCCTGTTATAATTTTATGATTATAATGAGCCAACAACCAAGCATCTCTTCACCTTCTAAAACTTAGATCACACACATACGACAAGATCTAAAAGAAGGGTATTGAAGGGGAACTTTAAAAGGGGCATGCATGAGACAGGAAGAGGACCTGCATGACAAATAAGCTTTGGAGAGGACCTGCACGACAAGTAAACTCTGAAGAGGACCTGCATGACAAGTAACTCTGAAGAGGACCTGCACGACAAGTAAACTCTGAAGAGGACCTGCACGACAAGTAAACTCTGAAGAGGACCTGCAAGAGAAAGGAATATTTTATAAAGAGGTCCTACCTTGGGTTCGGGCACTCTGGCAAGTTCCGCCAAATTGTGGCAGAGACGGACATGCTTCAGCTGGAAAGGGTTGTTCCTGTGGTCTTCAAATGACCTCATGACCTTGTCACTCATCCACTCCACCTGAGGACATGGTGTATTTATCAATATAGACATCATGATAAGATGTTTTTTACTTAACCACAAATGCTCATTCGATCAGAGTTTCCCATGGTATCAATGTAAGGAGATTTTTTTTTAAAGATTTTTAAATGGAGTTAAAACAAGAAGTCCCTGTTTAATGGGGGAAAAAAAAGATACAAAACATCTGCTTCACGGAACCGTACACACACTTAAAATTGAAAGCTTTGAATTTATTGTTTACTGACCTGGGACTTGGCGAACTCCACAACATTGAAGCTGACGTTATTGAGCAGAGCTAATGAGTAAGCCGTTAGCCCCGACTCAGAACTTCTCCACATTTGATCCTGAGGTGAGAAGAAGAATCAGAGTTGATAAATATTTAAGGAAGGCAAGCCACTCATTCCCAATAATCCTACAACTGCAATGTCCACATGGGGTTTTGCATCCAGCCAAATAAACATGACAAAGTTGGAAAATTAACATTTTATCAATTTTATTCAGCAACTTGAGTGATAAATATTTAATTAATTTATGTTCGCCTGATAAAATAAATTTATTGAGGTGATATAAAGTGCAGATATAAAGTGCAGATATAAAGTGCAATTAAATCCCATGATCAAGGGGCCTGCTTCAAAGACAACCAAAGACTATAATTTGTATTCAAAGAGGCTCACCATCAACTGTGCCAGCTCAAGCATCCTGCCAGCTGTGTCAACGGCAACCAACACATTCCCATCATTTCTCATGGTCTGGAGGATCGTGGCTTTAAAGAGAATCGATAACTCGTTTTAAAAACAGGTTCCTTAAAAATATGACATCCCTTAATTAAAAAAATGTACATTGAATTACTGTCAATGAAACATTGTAAAATATTCAAGATGCCTCACAGTTGGCAAGAGTACATTCAAAGCAGAAGATCAAGATCATCAGAGTGTCAAGTAAGGATATACTTTTTAAGTGAAGATCTGCTCAAATTTTTTGAGAATACTTGCGCAGCTATGAAAGCAATATATTTTAATGTATTGTGGAAGTGATTGTCCCAATCTAAACTTGGAAACATTCCCAGGAAGTAGTGGAACAAGGTATGTTTCTACTTCTTGCAGTTTATTCTTTTGTCCTGTCTTCTGTCCTGTCAGGCTCTTGGCCGAAATGTCCCTCTGTTTGTTGTCCTGTCAGGCTCTTGGCCCAAACGTCCCTCTGTTTGTTGTCCTGTCTTCTGTCCTGTCAGGCTCTTGGCCGAAACGTCCCTCTGTTTGTTGTCCTGTCTTCTGTTCTGTCAGGCTCTTGGCCCAAACGTCCCTCTGTTTGTTGTCCTGTCTTCTGTCCTGTCAGGCTCTTGGCCGAAACGTCCCTCTGTTTGTTGTCCTGTCTTCTGTCCTGTCAGGCTCTTGGCCGAAACGTCTCTCTGTTTGTTGTCCTGTCTTCTGTCCTGTCAGGCTCTTGGCTGAAACGTCCTTCTGTTTGTTGTCCTGTCTTCTGTCCTGTCAGGCTCTTGGCCGAAACGTTCTTCTGTTTGTTGTCCTGTCTTCTGTCCTGTCAGGCTCTTGGCCGAAACGTTCTTCTGTTTGTTGTCCTGTCTTCTGTCCTGTCAGGCTCTTGGCCAAAACGTTCTTCTGTTTGTTGTCCTGGCATTATATTTCAAGCTTCCGCACATTTTGTTCCACTATTTCCTTCACACAGTTTGAACGCAGAGCTTCATTCTTTTGTATCTGAAATATTCTTGGCAGACATGGAAAGTTACAGATAATTATATTTATTGATATATTTTGTAAATTAATTAGCATTGACACTGCTGTCAAGTGTAAGGGAGAAATGAAACTGTGACCTACTCATAAGTTGCTCATCCCTCTGTCTGCGACTCGGCTGGTTGTATAGTGCGTTAAATGTGTCAGTGATGAGCACTGATGGACGTGAGATGGTATCCAGCTGACATCCATTTAAATGCCTGTAAATGAAGGATTGTGAGTAAATATGTGGGTGTGTGTAAATGTGTGAGCATGGTTAACAGTTAAGACTCCTACACTTGTCTTCTCCCACACTAAATTTTGTTTAAATTTTTATCAAAAGTGAACATTTAAGAGAAACTTAGCTAACTCTACCGATTTAAACACTTTGTAACGTCACAAACATAAATCATTGCTCCCTCAATTAAAGAGAAAGTAAAAATACAACATGAAGTGGAATGTATTTCTTCTCCAATGCCTGTCAGGTTTTATCTCTTGCTTTCACTTGTTTATTTCAGCTTTTCTTGAATGATCCATTTGGCTAAGGCTTTTAATTTGTTTTATTTTATTTATTCCTTGACTTTTCAAATGAAAATATTGTGAGGATCTTAATTGGAAGAAAATGTGTGAACCTCGCATCATGCTGATCCAGTGACTTGTGACGTCTTATCATTTCTGCTATCCAACAAACCTTGCCCACATTTAGAAAGCTAAGGACATTTTTTTTCTAAATTCTCTTAATACTTCTCTCATCTATTCTCCCCTTATCCTGTTTGGTAAAGTGAATATCTCAAGAGGCAAAAACTTAAATAAATTCAACCACCCATTTTGACAACAAATTAAGTGACAAATCATCTGTGTGAACCAATCTTGAAGTCTACATTGCATTAGGGAGACTCATCCACCACACCCTAACCTGGCACACTTCTTACCTCTCCTTTTTATGGTTGTAATCAATGGCATACACAATCTCCTCTTCCCCATCCTTGACTATTTTCCATATGGTGCCACCGATCATGTGACCGGCAGGTAGAGGTGTGATCTGAAGACCATGGCCTTTACCTGGTGGTTGAAAACATCTCACATTTAACCTATGTCACAACACATTTAGCACACAGGTTTAGATTCAGTTTAACAACAACAGCAACAAAAATTATATATCTTCAGATAAAGTACAAACTGAATCACCACAAAGTTAATGCTGCTGCATCTTCAAGATCATAAAATGATTTTGAATCTAGTTAAGGTGGAATTACATTTCTTCGGCTATAAGACAAGTATTATTTATCTTCAAGAACTCAATTCCCCCTCCAATTAGGATTATTTTGAAATTTTATTCAAAATGCATCCTTTGAATTATATAATAAAATCTCTATTATGACTAGTCATATCAAATGCAATATTTCGCAAGTTACATCCTTTGTATTATGCTACTTGAGAAAATTACTCAAAATTGATCGTCGAGCTTTTATTCAACATCAATTTTCTGACTGACATTTATAGCCCGTTATTTTTATCAGCCAAACCGTAAAATTCTAAACTTTAGCCCTTGTCCAGATTACCATCTTTTCAAGCTTGTTTTAAAGAAAACGATTCAATGAAGTTGAAATAGTAGACAGGAGACAAACCTTTAAGCGTGATTGTCTGAGAGTATTCCAGTTGAATTATTTTGTCGAATGCAACATCCACATCATCCAGAGTGAATTTATCAAAATCTTGACTGTTGTGTCGTGACTGAGAAAGATATGAAAAGTGACGTTACCAGCTGATAATAATTAAGATCAGTACAACAAAATATTTGGAGGAAAAAACACTTGTATGTTATACCTTTGACGATTATTGAATACCTAACACAATTATTTTAATTTTATTTTTGGACATATTTTATCAATGTCTCAGTATACCATAATCTCATCCAAGAAAAATGTTAGGTTATAAAACAATCGACTCCACACACATACAAATTATTAAAAGAAAGAAAATAAATCAATGATGTAAAGTTAGACTGAATTTTAAGATACTTAGATTAAATCAAATTAATTAATTAGGTTAATTAATGTTAGGTTATAAAACAATCGACTCCACACACATACAAATTATTAAAAGAAAGAAAATAAATCAATGATGTAAAGTTAGACTGAATTTTAAGATACTTAGATTAAATCAAATTAATTAATTTTTAGAAAATGTTTAGGAATATTTTTTAACATAGGTAGCCAAAGAGAAATAACTTTTACTGCCAAGTCCATCTAACTTCAAATACTTATCTCCCTGACAATAAAATAACATTTCTTTTGAGATTAGTTTTAGAGGAAAAAAAATGGAACAAGAACTTTAATGCAGTTTTTAAATTGATTTAAGACTAGCTTAGTCAGATGTATTATAGTTATGTCAAAAAAAAAGTACAAATATAGGTAAGCTTAGCCAGATTTATAGTACTTAGGTGAACAAAGCAATACATGCATATATATTTATAAAGACTTAAGAAGATAAGATAACAATGGAACAGCTTACCTGGAATAAATCATACATGAACATTTGCCCCATCTTGTACACAGGGACTGTAGCATAAATGGGACAGTTGAGATCACCTTTGCCCACAAGGTAGGGCAGAGCTCCAAGGTGAAGATGATCTGGGTATGTCAGAAGTACTGCATCCACTTGGTGAGTTACTCTTAAATTGCATAATAATGTCATCATTGAGATTTGACCTCACAAGTCAAAACAAGAAAATATGGGGTTTTTTAATTGACAATCAGACAACGTAAACAATGCATACTAAAAACCTTTTACTATGAATTAGAAAACTAATATTAAAGCATAATTTAATAAGAATTTTTAACTGTAAGATACCTGCGCAGATCCTTCACAAAATCCATGCTGAAATCTTCATCCCAGCCACAATCCAATAAAAATCTAAATTCATCAACCTGCAACATGTAACATGGTGGAGATTCATCTCTGGCGCCCGAAAGAGCGTGTAGCTTAATAATGGATGTCATGATTCTGCAGATTGAAGCCAAAGCACAAAAAAATATACTTCTTTTTTTTTTTAAACTTCTAATAGTAATATTTTATACTTTCCTATCTTCTGATTTTCAGAGAAAATCATCTTCAATATTTGATAACTACATCATCTTCAATATTTGATAACTACATCATCTTCAATAATTGACAACTAGATCATATTTCATGCAGAAGACTAAGAAGAGATCCAATACAGAATGGATAGCAGTACTCACAAACATCCACTCTATTTGTTTAACCATATGTCATTATTAGTCTTCTATAAGGAATGAACTACAATCTCCTATATTAAGACGTCCTGCATTAACATTTACAACTTAATTGATCAACAACATTGACTTTGTAAAAAGTATTTAATATATACTTCCTGTCAATGAACACACTCACTACACTCCACACCAAGGCATTGATAGATTTATCAGTAAACTAACAAAAAGAAATTCAGCCTTGCTGATACCCCAACCACTGGTGAAAAAAAACGTGCACATTGTTAAAAATGCTGTCTTTTGATTGCTTTAAAAAAGAAGTATACATATGTACACTTTAAAATTATTTTCTGAGGAGGGGCGACCCCTTCAACCATTGCAAATATAAAAATGAAAATAAATAATATCTTTTGGTAGGGAAGACCCCCCTCCCCCAGAGTAGACTATTGTAAATGATTGTAGATGATCCCCTCATGTGCTGAATAAAATGCACATTTTTATATATTATTTAAAGCAAAAGCATTTAATTAATAAGAATCAAAGACATAATTTTATTATATTCAATTCATTATTTGGTTTATAAAGTAACGGCAGTATGTAAAACTGAAAAATATTGAGTCACGAAATGAGGTGGTGCCTTCCATATTACCATTGCTAAGATAGTGAAAAGAGACAAATGAAAAATTCATAGCTCAACATATACTAAAGCTAGTTGATATTGGTCTTTTGAATTTTTATTTGTTTATTTTTTTGCAAAAGCAGGTGAGGCTATGTTCATCCCGATTTATGCTTAGGCCTGAGTGTTGTGTGAGGAAGGAAGCATTGCGTGCTTACTGATCATATATTTTGTTAGGGGGCATCACACTATATGTTTAGTCTACCCATCGCCCCCTCCCCCAAGATAAAAATATTAAACTAAAAGAAGTAATAGTATATACCAACTCAAGTCTGTGGTCTATGTAACAACTAACCTGTACTCCCCATTATACATTCTTTTTATACCTCACATCACATGATCACTTAATCCAGTTCTCCAACCAATATTCACACATTTAAGTTTAAACATTCATGAAAACAAATCACCCCCTCCAGTCATACAACATGACAACAACACAGGACAATCAGGTCACAAAGTTCAACCAATACACACGACAATAATTGTCAATCATACATACTGTCACATTTCCCCCAGTTTGATGAGACAATCAATAGTTAATCAAGAAAAAGTTATGTATGCACAATTATATCAACAGTATTAACGAAATATATTCCAACATCTTTGCATCAATAGTTCAAATATTAATTTGCATTGTATATCAATATATCAATATATATGTATCAATATCTGAAACATAGGAGCCAGAATGATCAATTCATTGATCGTGGGCCCTCAAAATAAAGAAGAAGAAGAATATATCAATTTATATTTTAAATGTCACTATCAGGGAAGCGTGATTTAACGTGCCTGCCATATCTTGTTACCACTTGTGCTGGAATAGGATTGATGGCACTTGGTAGCGACACATTCACTAAAGTCTCTTTTCAACCTGTGGGTTGGTAGCTTGTGGTACATGTGTTGTATCTGGTCCGTCCAGTTCAAATACGTCTGGAGCACTGCTTTGCCCGCCAAATCTCTCTTTTAATATTTTCTGATTTTGTCACTATGTCACCCCATCTGGTATTTAACAATGTATGACCTGGTGTGGAGGCTTCTGAGATAACTACTGCTGGCTTCCACGAGCTTTGAGGACTGTGTATGGACACTGCTCCCAGGCTAAATCTGTGGATGGCCTGTGAGTTTCGCTGTTTTATTGTAATATCTTCCTTGATCGTTTTTTCTTTTTTTCCAGATGTTGGCCATTTCTTTTGAGTCAGGAACTTTAGGCTTTAGGTAGGCATCAGTAGCTGGAAAAGTTGATTTCAGCAGTCTGCATATGAGTAGCTGCAAGTCCTTCAGGGCAATATATGGATCTTGGCCGACATGGCCCGAAGCTTGAGCTTTATTTACTGTTTGTATTGCTCATTCAGCCATGCCTTTGGACTGTGGGTATCTGGGATTTAAAGTGATGTGACTAAATCTGACCCCATGTTATATAAGATACCAACTCAAGTCTGTGTAACAATTAATCTTTATTCCCCATTCTACATTCTTTTTATACCAACAACACAGGACAATCAGGTAAAAAAGTTCAATCAATACACACAACAATAATCGTCAGTCATAAAAACGGTCACAAAAAAATTATATAAATACAGTACAGAGCTAAAAAACTATCTGCAAACCCAATCCTAGCCAATACGATACTTATGTGTCTAGAGATTCTTGATTGCCATCATTTTATCACTATTATTTTTTTATTGGAATAAATAATTAAATATAAATAATCCACACCGGACACTGACACAAATATCTCAGCTCAACTTCATACCATATTCAATTCATTTATATATAAATTATAATGATTTTTTTTTTTTTAAACTAACAAACGAAAACCATGAGTATGAGTATGAGTGCGAGTCTCTAAGATTAACAGGCGTGTGTTACTGTCAGTACGAGTCAGTCGTCTTAGAAATAGATAAAAAAAAGTAAAAAGTAAGAAGGCAGAACTACTAACTAAACTAACTCATGCCGACCATGGCGTTCATTTGTATAAAAATGTATTAAATAATTATAATGAATGTATAGTTATAGTAGAGTAGCGGCGGCATAGGCCTAAAATTAAAACTAGGACATCTGAAATCATAATCATCAATAATTAGGCTACATGTTAATGGTTCCTTGTCTGAAAAAGTATCCCTACCTTTATTTTAAAACTTTCTAGCCATACAAGAGACCTTAAAATCCCGTAAATGTGTCTTTAAATAATAGACAACATTTACATTAGTTAAATTGTGGGTGAAAACAAATTTGCTGAAAGGGGCATCACTCGAAACGTGTTTTTAAGCCAATAAAAAATCGAGAATAAAACAACTAAGTAACTAATTTTTGCTTTTCATGTGAAATGAACTTTTTAACTAAAATTAAGACAAGCACTTTCTTTATATTAATAAGCAATTTTTTTTAATTTTTAAATTTTGTACATGATTAAGTCATTAAATTTTTATTCAGAAAACAGCTAAATTATTTAATATGAATTTCTTCTGTACGTTTTGTAATACAAACTTTATATACCCTGTGAAGTACTGAGTGAGAGTAATTGTTATTTCGATTCAATCGATGCTCCAAACAGAGAAGGTATTATAGAATCAGTATACGCCCAAAATGTTCTTTGGTTACCTCATTTTTAATTCTATTTCTTTTTGGAACTCAACTTAATCTTTCTCTGTATGTGTTCGTCTCAATTGTATTCATTTTTATTAGGGCCTTTCAGAGCCGTCGCATGACTTTTGGAGGCCTCCTGCAACTTTCGGCCTCCGTTTTCAATTTTCAAAGTTTGTTTATTAATCTGGGCCTTATTTACTTCTTAAAATAAGTTTTGGTAAATTTTAAGGACGAATGCCACTATTTTATCGAATTTCACGAATGTATCCCTAAATGGATCCCTATGCCTAACCTGAACCCTAAATCGATCCCTATGCCTAACCTGAACCCTAAATCGATCCCTATGCCTAACCTGAACCCTAAATTGATCCCTATGCCTAACCTGAACCCTAAATCGATCCCTATGCCTAACCTGAACCCTAAATCGATCCCTATCCTGAACCCTAAATCGGTCCTTCAACCTAACCTAAACCCTAATTCACTGCAACTATAATAAACACACAAAAGATGCCGTGGCATCCGTCCTTAATAATAGCCTTAGTTTTAAACTTGAAATGAAATGGAGAAAACCCTAGCTTAAGATTTTGATTTAGGTTGCTAAATTAGGCCTACGTCATTGATCAGCTGTGACTATGAATCAGGAACCTTAAAAACGTATAAGTTACTCCAACTAAATGGACTCAAGACTAAAATCTGAATCTTAACTAACAGTTACACTAACAATACTAACATGATTCAATTGTAATTATATTTTTTTTTTACTTTTTAAATAGAAGGCCTAAAACCAGTTTTGCTTTTATTTATTTTCATTTACCCTAGTCCTAGGCTTATTGAAAAGGCACAGCCAGGCGTTAGTTTACATTTACTTTAGACCAGTTTTGGGTAGGACGAGAAGTGCCTTAAGCATAATATGCAATGTGTAGAGTGCAATGCCTTCTTCCAGTCATTGGCCTAAGAAAATTCAAGATAAAAGGAGCCATTCAATTAAATATAACCCTCAGATATGCAGCTATACCCAACAACAACCTCCAGTTTTCTCCTTCCCTACAATAGCCTCAACTGTAATTTCTACACGCTGCACAGAAATTATAGACATTTATTAGATAAATTGATCGTGGGCCCTTAAGATATAGAAGAAGAAGATATTTCAATATCTTTCAGTATAAGTTGTAATCTGACAATGACTGTGCCATGTTGTCTGCAAAGTGCGGATAGAGGAAGTGTCATGCATTAAAATTAAAACAATAGCAAACTGCACCCTGGGAAACCCATTTATATATGAGGCTTATAGTGCCCAACCAAAATAAATTCAGATAACAGTCTTTTTTTTTGTTTACGATTAAAAGGCATTTTGACACTTATTCTCAAATAAGTAAATTAACAAGATAAAAATGTATGCCAAATGAAATTAATTGTCGAGGAAGAACATTCATTGGTCAATATTTATATCTTGAACACTCTCTCCTTGTTACATCATCCCGGCCCCGCCCATTCTGATGCTGAAAAAATAATATCATGCCTCTTAATATGTGATGTTAATTGTAAATTTTTAAAAATTTCCAATATAATTTTAGAAGAATTAATTTAATTATTATTAATTTTAAAATATGGACATTTTCATTCATAATAATTTCCCTTCTGAGACAATTCTCATAGCTATTGCCATTACAACTTTGCATGATTTAGACAGAGTTGCCATTTCCAATAATAGCTGATTTAGTTGACCTGAACTATTTAATGAAACTCTGATTTTATTATTGATTTTTTAAATATTTTTATTCCCTCAGAATTTCAATTTATTCTGGATGATGCCATAACCATTACGAGAATGAATTTACTTTTCTTATCTGTTACGTCAACTATTTTGTGTGTTATCATAGCCTTTACGCTAAAGTATCTTTCACTTCTTCGCTGGATCAGTGGACATGCTTATGTGCTTAGTAAGGTAATGACTTCAAGTATTTTAACAAATCTTATTATTTTTTATTTTCTTGCTCTATTTTAACTGCCTTTTTCAAAAAATTTATATTATGTATATATGAATCTTGATTGTGTATCGGTTTTTTTTTAAATCTTTTAGCCCAAAATATTTCTAAATTCCAAAAATCTTGAAATTTGTAAACAGCTTGCCTGGCTGTATATTTGCATTAATCAAAAACAAATCTAGAGGCATCACATAATGCATTGGATAATTAAATACTTACATTTTTTTTTCAAATTTTTGCTTGCTGAAGAAGTCACCAGCATTGCTATTTGAATGTAACAGCTAAAACATTGAAGCTATATTTAATAAAATCATTGCATTAAATATTAACTTTTAAATCAGAAATATAGTGTGAAAATTGTATTTGAAAGTTTTTTCATTTCTTTTAAATTTGGCATCTTGTGCAAATATTGAGTGCAAGTTATGTGGCTTTTGGGAAGCTCTGCTTTAAAAAAAATTGTGTAAATTCTAGTTCATTGTCCATTGAAATACATTCATCTTTTCTTTCACATTAAGCTTAAAAAGGTAAATCTGTTTTCCACAGAGAAGGGAACACTTTAGCATATTAGAGGTGCTAGATCTCTTTAAAAATGTTCGGGTATGTATGACAAGTTAGTCAAGTTTATGTGTCGTCTTTTCTTTTATTAAAAACATATAGGCACAAAGTAATGGACGCTTTAGTAAAATAAAAATGAGCTCCCACCACCTTCTTATTTACCTCCAACTTCAAAAATATAAATACTCCTAAATTAAGGTGTGTTGTTTTTTTTTTGTTTTTTGGTCAATGACTAATAACTACGAAGTAACCTGATTTTAATTTTTTTAATTTTTTTATTTACCCTATGTGGAATAATTTAATAGGAGGATTTGTCTTTTTTTTTTCATATTTCAGAATAATAAAAACCAATTTGTAATTATTTATTTACAGCCTTTCCCCATCTCATGCCAGAAGGGTTGGAAAATTGACAGCTTTGCCCACGGCCACCGCATTTGGTTTAATTTCCTGACATTTCCTCACAATTTAAATGCTCCATCTATAAAGGTTTATGCTGTTTTTGATAAAGTCAAATCCTCATCACAGGTACTTTTGATTTGATTGTTTATTTTTCCATAACATAGCCAGTTGGTATCAATATGAGATTTGATGGTCACAGAAGGAATTTGTGTGAAACATGTTTTATTAAAACAGTTTATTTGCACAAGTTTTACCTGTTGGTGACAAGATTTAAATATTTTGCTGTCACTCTTCATGCAGGCATTACTGCAAGTTTTAAAAGACATAACACAGTCATGTGAGTGGAAGCCAGGGGTGATTTCAACTTCCAACACCAACAACCTGACAACTCATGAGATGCCCATTACACCCAAAGGCCTTCCGTCTATGCCTGTTCAGGTAAGTAACCATCCTGTAATAAAACAGGTATTAAAAAATGACGTACTGCAACAAAACACATACAGCTAGGTGAAATCATTCTGAATAGTCATAATAATTTTTTTCTATTTCATAACCTTATTTTTCACCTCCAATAAAGCTGTTTGTAAATAAATGTGATGTAAAAATTGTATGTATTGGGGAAAAAAATTTAATTTCCCAAATTTCGAGGGGTCATATCTAGTACGTTGATAACATTTAAGTCAGAGAAGAAAGCATGATACATTGTGAAAGCAATCAGACCAACAGAAACCCTCCTGGAAATGTGCTGAAGAAAAATATTTCCCTACCAGATTGACTGTGTCAAAGAAGAAAGACTCAGCCACGCAGAATCAAAATTTGGGTTGCTGAACTATGATCCATGGTTTACAGAAAATGTGGTACCAACAGTTTCTGTTGAATTTAAAAGGTTAGTTTGAATTTATTTCTATAAAATGATAGTTGTAAGTTGAATGAAGCTCAGCCTGTCTCCTTGCAGAATCCTTTTTTTACAGCTGTAAATAAACTTAACAAATTATCTTATAAAAAAATTTCTTTTAACTGTTATGAATATTAGGTCATCCTGTCATTCCCATGAATATTAGGTCATATTGTTATTCTCCCTGCTTCCGCAAATAACAATATTAAAGAGATTCTTTACAACTTACAAAAGAAAAAAGCATGGTGTTTAGATTCTAGTTTCTGCTCGAAAAATTAAAACCTGGAGAAAACCCATATATTTTGTTAAATAAACATCTAAATATTCAAAGATTCTGAAAGCTTTGTATTATAAAATTGTATTTTTAACTTAAAATTTCCCGCAGGTTCTGGCACAGAGAAAATAATGGTGTCTGTTGGTTGTTACAAATGAATGAAGCTTTGCAAACATGTGAATTTTATTTAGTCCAACCAGTGCAAGGTAATTTCAACTGTCAAAAAATTTAAGATTTGTTTTAACACTGAGTATCAAATTTGATTTTGTTATAGAATCAGGCCTAGTGAGGTACACATATTCTTAAAATAGACATTGTATCTTTGCTATAAACATTTATAGGGCTGACTTCCAGCCGTTAGAACTCATTTACTTTATTCACAGAGGATTACCACTCTTTGTTAGACCAAATCTATTAAAAAATACTCCCATTCTCTATAAATGTAAATAATTATCAAAACCTAGTGCTGTGTGCTCATGTGATAATATTTTGAACAGAATCAAGCTGCTCCCCTTTCTGTTTATTCTCTTGTAAAGTGATGGGAGTTTCTTTCTAAGTGCTCATTATAACTTAAATATATTCATTTTTATCCAGAGGTGGATCACTGTTTGCTGTCAGTTGTTACATGGTCTCGGAAAAGCTCAAAATCCTCTGTTGATAAGGCATCAATCTTACTTTCGTCATTAGAAGAGTACATAGCTTTGCGCAAACTTCAGAAGACCCCTCTGACTACAATAACACTACCACAAGACCTTTCGGAGAGTGATGCAGAGTCCAGTGACAGCAGCCAGGGGAATGAATCCATCAATCCTGACACACCAATACTCAGGAAAATGAAACACTTCATTCTGGATAGACATTCCAGTAGCAGTAGTGGCACATCCAAAAGAAAGACGGAACTGGAGAAATACTCATCCATACTTAGGTATAGATGGAAAAATGGACGCACACCACAGGCCAGCGGTGTAAACAGTGATGGGACAGCCTCATCCCAGTGTGGTGATTTCACACCAGTCCACGCTCCAGAGTGCTTAACTTCAAATGCTGGTGACTGTTCAGATCAGAGACAAAAGTCGGCCTTGCAGAGATCCATAAGTGATGGGGTGGCATTCAAACAAAGCCGTCAAATGAACCAAGAACTGGAAGACCAGTTGGCAGACTCTGATACCAGATCGGAAACAGACGCCAGACCGTACAATGAGGGAAATATTTCAGAACATCCAAGCTCAGAACCTGGAGAAGGTGTTTCAGCTGAAGGTTGGTTTGTTGATGTGTTGTGACCCTTTGAGTTGATTACAAAGCTCTTTGTGTGATTGGTGTAGAATGGTTTTTAAATATTTAATGAATTCCTCATATAATAATAACAAAAATTGTGCTGATATGTAATTGTGTGTTCATTGTTTCCCTCAATACAAATAATATGTGATTTTTTTTTAAATTTCTAGACTTGGAAATTGCCCGTTACAAGACAACAAGCAACCAGTGTGCAGCTGAAGTTATGGCTGAGGTTAGTTTCTGAATTATAGGCCTATCATGTTTATTTAAGATTAATGTAATGGGACTCCATTCTTTACTTATTGAGACGTAAGTATAAAACTAATGACCTTTCTTTCTGTCCTAAAAATCTCATGTAACATTCAATGGTCGATTTTTTTATTTATTAATGCTGAATGATTACCAAAATGAGACCCTAGTGGGGGGGGGTTTTCTGTAAGTATACAAAATATTTTAAAAATAATTTAAAAAGTAATTTTTCTGCTTCCTGCTAGTGGTGATGTTGGCATGCAATGCTTAGTTCTACATATTGGAATAGTGATATTTCAGAATTGAATTTTTTAAGTTATGTTTTTTTACTTATGTAGTGTCTGCGGGCATCAAATATAGACCTGGAACGTACATCAGAGGAACAAGCGGCATCATCAGGAGGATGGCTGTAAGTAATTGTAAATATCCTAAAACAATGTCAATTTATAAAGAAATGTGCTGGCACTTAAGGACTAATCCATTATGTTTTGGGCCTGCATCTGCAGTAAACTAAACTTTCAGCTCAAGCTGAATTAAATAGTGTGCTGGCTTTGTAAGTCTGAGCATCCTGGTTGTGAAATCCTTGAGTCATCTCATCAGTTTGTATAATTAATAAATGAATACGCTAAGCCGAAGATACCTTTTTCTTTTAGATTTACTATTATTTCCTTTTAAACCCGAAGGAACATTGACACTTTTTTTTTAGACAAGATCGATGTATATTTTCAGTTTCATGTTTCTCTTTCCTTATATCGCAGGTTAATTCAAAGAACAGTTTTTATTTTTGTAAAGGCAGTCGAATTAAAATGTGTTGTGATGTAGGCGTATTTTATCTATGTCTGATAGTTAGTGTTATATCTTTTTATTAACATATAATTGTGTATGTCTTTGCTTCCAATTAACACAGGTTTTCCTTTGTGTCAGACTGCTGACTATTTTGTGTTTCTATGGTTATGTATTTCCAGATTTTCTTCATTTGAAAAAAACATTGTTGTCTTAAAGAAATTGCAAAGAAGTGGCTCCTCAGTTCAAAGGTAATTCCTTGTCCGACAACAAATAGATTACTTTAACTTTAAAATGTTTACTGTCGTTTCAGAGCAAGTCAATAAAAAATAATTATAAATTTTAGAATGAAAAGGGGGAAAAAAAACATATCTTTTTCAAAGTCAGTGCTGCTTACAAGTGCATCAGCTTTATTGGCTATGATGTTAATGTTATATTGAAGTGCTTGGAAGACAAGAATTTTTATCTATTGCTGGTTATTTGTACTTGAGAGTAATACGCTTTTCTTTAAAAGAAAAAAATTTGTTACGTACAGATTAATTTAATGAAACTTGACTTTCATTTTGATCAAAGCTGCCTGATTGTTGTATCAGTATTCAGGTTTTTGTGTAAATTAGATTTTACAGTCAAGTTTTGTATTCTCCCTGTCAGCTTACAAACACATCTAATGATTACATTTTACTTTTTTGTTTTGCTTTGATTTAATAGTTTCCATAAGAGTCACCGTAGTTTCATTCAAATTTGCAAGCGTAATATGTTTTTGTTGACTAGTAGGGGTAAAGAGCAAAATTTCTCACAGAAAACAATGTTTAGAATAATTTATTTCTAGTTCATAATCATTTCCACAAATTTAACATATATATTTATGGCACTGAGCAAAAATGAATGACAAAGAAAAAATTCCAAGAAGTAAATAACTGTGTTTGTTATAATTTTATCAAATTTCCATACAAAAAAACCTATGGCTGATGTTGTCTTGATGCGTCACCATTAACACTTTGTTGTCAAATTCTAATTCTCCATTCTCGTCTAATTTTTCAAAGTTACATTGGAAAAGGATTTGTATTGGCACCACCAAAGACTGTATGGGATGCTGTTAAAAATCCACGCACAAGATTCACCTACGATGATACCTTGAAGGTGAGTTATAGTATTAACTTTTGCGGCATCAAATGTAACAGGGATAAAATACATCTGCATTTTAAGTACAGGCCTTTTGTTTGAAAATAAACTAAACCTCGCCATGACTGCTGTGTTAAAAATGTTAAGTTCAGACAACTAATGTCCTTTTTCCTTGCTCTTTCAGAAAGTGGACATCATAGAGACATTAAATAACACACTGAAGATTGGTAAAAAAAAAATTCGTATTGTTTCTTTACAGTTTTATTAGATATTTTTTTAGAAAGGTATAAATTTTATGCATAACAACAATTGTTGTCACTTTAATTTCTTATAGGTCTTGACCATTTATTATTATATAATTAAATTCACATTGTTATTATATTTTTAAATTCAAATTGAATATTTCAAAACATTTTTGCTTCAATAGGGGTTGTTTGTTTTTTTTTTGGGGGGGGGGGGTGTTTTACTCATTTTTTCCAAGTATGTTGATTGTTTCACGTTGTGTCGTCAGTTTACTTTTACCACGAGAGCCAACAATTCCTCACCAAAGAGAGCTGTGGTATGTGCGTATTACATGGGGAGAGGTTTCAAATTGAATATTTCAAAACATTTTTGCTTCAATAGGGGTTGTTTGTTTTTTTTTTGGGGGGGGGGGGGTGTTTTACTCATTTCTTCCAAGTATGTTGATTGTTTCACGTTGTGTCGTCAGTTTACTTTTACCACGAGAGCCAACAATTCCTCACCAAAGAGAGCTGTGATATGTGCGTATTACATGGGGAGAGGCAAGAAGGCGAGAATTACATCCTGACCTACTCCAGTATTGAACATGACAAGTGCCCTGTTAACCCAAATGTCACCAGAGCCAAGGTTAGAAAAGCCGTAGGATGCAATAATTCTCTCTGGTTTCAGTGTTATCGTGGTGCACAATACCTCTCCCTGTTGTCTCCAGTGTTATCATGAGATACAATACTTCCATCTGTTATTTTCAGTGTTATTGAAGGATACAATTACAATACTTCTCCCTGTTGTCTTCAGTGTTATTGTTTTACTTAAATAAAGACATTGTTATTTCATTGTATTTAAAGTTTCATATCTGATTATCTAGAAGTTGTTGAAAATGATCACTCATGGAACCGAGTGTAAAATATTTAAAAATTTGAAATAGTTTAGCCTAGCTAAATTTTCATATCCGATTATCTAGAAGTTGTTGAAAATGATGACTCATGGAACTGAGAGTAAAATATTTAAAATTTTGAAATAGGTTAGCCTAGCTAAATGATGAATAGGTTATTTTTAGGAAGGACATAATTTATTAAGCAAAAAAAATTAACTTTTAATAATAAACTGGAATAAATAAATATAAATTTTAAAAATGGATCCTGTCCTGTTATAACTCTTAGTACAAATGAATTGTTACTATACCAGTAGAGCTGACTGGATCTACAAGTTTTTCTTGTTTCTCCTGTTAAATTTAGTTCTTACCAAGTGGCTGGATAATTGAACCTGCCAAACAAGACAACAAAGTTTACTCCATAGTAACTTATTTAATGCAGGTCAGTACAATGCTTTGGTACTTATTTTATGCAGGTTAACACAATGCTTCACTCTACCATTGTAATATTTTATCCTAGTCATCTTTAAGCGTCAGCCTGTGGGGTAGCTAGGGCCGCTCGTGGCGGACCAAGAATTTAGCCCTCTCCCCCGCCCAGGCGAAAAAACTTTGCAGTTTGCCATAATTTTCAAAAACGCAACCCCTCCATACATAAAAAAAAATTCATTTTGGATCGGACCACACCCCCTTCATAAATCACTGGTCAGGGTTCCTCAGTTGCTGAATATCACATTATGAGAAAATATTGGCAACTTTATTCTGGCAAATAATTGAAAATATATATTTTTTTATCTCCTTACAAAAAATATATAACAAAAAATATAGGTCATAGAGATTTGTATATTTGAGAACATAGAAAACATATAAATTACATTTAATCATAAGTGTCAATACAAATTATTTTTTTAATCTTTCCTATTTGATCAGTTTTAAATACATCTTGCTGATACACATTTGAAAATTACCTCCTGGTGGAGCCCTATTATACTTAATACATCAGTAAAACAATTTTTATTACATTTATATTTAAAAATTGCATCCTTGGTATATATCTAAAAAGTTTTAAAAAATGTGAATGCAAAAATTAAATTAGGTCTTCCTCTTCACAATAAGTTTTGTACTGATGAGTTGTCTTCCACCATCCTCTGTAAAAAGATTAGGGTAAAAAGCTTTCAAACAATAACTTTCAAACCCACCAGAGTTTACGAAATCATTTATCATAAAAACTTATTGTCGTGCATTCCAGATTGACTTCGGCCGTTCACGAGAAGGATACGACAATCTCCCATTCCAGGACATGATCTCCAGATATCCACTTAGCATTGCTGACCTGCAGCAGTACCTCAAGCCCGCAGTTCAGATGCTGCGAAGAAAATCGCTAACTTAAACCAGAGTTCTCCCATCTCCTTTCATGCTTAACAAGGACAGAATGTGTTGAAAGTCAATTTTACCACTGATGTTTAAGAGTTGCCTCTGCTCAGCATTTGAGATCAAAGTGTTCAGCGTTTATGTTCTGATGCAATATATATATATATATATCTTAATGTAACCATATCTTTCTTTCTATGCTTATAATCTTTGTCAAGTATATATGCACAATGAATAATTTATTTTTTATATACCACTCCATGCCTTCATTTTAGCCTGTCCTCAAAGTTTAATCCTGTGGTTTGCACATAAAGACTGAAGAAATCTAGTGCAGTGATTCTCAAACTGATTCTTGTACTCATCCACTCAACTCGTGACTGGTTAACTCATTCTCTAGGGCTGTTTTTAACTTTAGCGCCTAATAAATAGTTTTATGAACAAAGGGAAGTAACTCCATTTTTAATTGCATTACTAACATTTTTTAACAACCGCCGAAAAATAACAAAAAAATACCAAAAAATCAGATTTCGGCATCTTGGACCAACACGTTGTAGATATAAGACAAACTGTACTAATAAGCCTGTAGATCAGAAATGAAGAAAGAGAAAACTTCGGTTTACTTTATTGAAATCGCACTATCTGGATGTGTTCGTAGGGAAGGAGTGAAAATAAAACAGTCCAGACACCAATTGAGAAACTAATGTCATACTCGGTCCTAACTCTTCAAAGTTTAGTTCAGGGGCTTTGTTTGAGTTGATCTTTTCTTGACTGTCAAATATTTTTTATTTCAGTTTAAAAATCATCCACATTTCCTGTGGGTTTTTCTGTTCCCCTCCAACCAGGGCAAAAGGATTCTCAGAATAACTGCACTAGAACCTGAACAACTATCATCATAGAACAACTATCATAATAGTATGAACAACTATCATGATAGTATGGGAGGGGATGTGCTTATCCATGACAGTTTGAAAAAAAATGCTTGCCACTGCTAATGGCAAAGGATGATTTGTTCAGCCAGTATCTCTTACAGTATTCTCTTGATCTTTTTTATGCATGACTTTTATACAAATGTACTGTCAAAGAAATCTTGGCTTTCATGTATTTTGATAATTGTGTGTTATGTCACAAGGCATTCCAAGTTAACCATGTGAAATCAAGAAAGTGCAGCAGAGACATGGATTCTATTTCATGTCCTATTTTCTCTTTCTATTCAAATCGCTTCATGTATTATTTCAGGTGGAAAATTGGCAACTTTTTAATGAGGACATTTAATAAACTTTGAAATTGTATCTTCAAAATATGGTAAAAGGATTTTTTTTCAGCATATTCAATGCTTTAACGTAAAGATGCTTAGTTCTACAAGTGGGATATTGATTAATATGTAAGAAACAAATAAGCTATGGTCTTGAAAATGAACACTTGAAATATGGTGAAAGGATTTTTTCAGTGTATTCAATGCTTTAATGTAAACATGCTGAGTCCTACAAGTGGAACATTGATTAATATCTAAATGTAAGAAACAAATAAGCTATAGTTGTCTTGAAAATGAACACTTGAAATGTCCAGGTTTACTCAGCCAAGGATTTAATTACATCTTGTATCCTAGCGACTGACCAATCCACGTGTTAAGAGCTTACTGAAAACTACTTATAATGTTATGGCAGGCTATTGTTAAATACTTGTGCCTTTTTTGTCATTTATCAAATTTGTATGTGACAATGTTCAAAAAGTCTGTGACCAAACTTTAAAAATTCATGCAGAAATCTAAACATCATAAACTATTAACACAAATAAGAAACACAAATGCTTCATATTTTACTATGCTTTACAAGTACCTTCCATTCTATCTCATGTAATCCAGTTGTTCAGTACTTAACTCTAGATGTGTTGAACTGAAGATCTTGAACTACTGTAAATATGTTCTGTATTGCACTCCAGACATGTTGCGCTGAAGATATTCAAACTACTTTAAATATACCCATTCCTTCTATGGCTCTAACTCAGCAGTGGACGAATGTTTTCTTAAAGCACTTAATTGGGGGTTCTCAGTTGTATGTCGGGGTACTTCCCAGATATCCTTTAACATGTGAAATAAAAGCAATGAGGAGCTGTCGTCAGTGACTGTAATTTAGTAACATAAACCATGAGATCCAAGGACTTGTTGTACATGCAGAGTATTTAAAATGCCTAAGTATTATCAGAATGAGCACTTCTGATTCCAGCAGCTGAAGATTTCTTGATTTATGTAAAACATCTTTAATGGTTGTTAGTGGTATGGAGGGGGGTGATGGTTGGTAGCAAAATGAAGGGGGGTGATTGATTGGTAGTGGTATGGAAAGGGGGGAGGTGTTGATGGTTGGTAGCAATATGGAGGGGCTTGATGGTTCGAAGTGGTTATGAAAAGAATCATTTCAGTTCCTTTTTTCTCTGCCACCTGAATTTTAAAAAATCAAGTTAACTAATATGCTGTATTAATCTGCCTTGTACAACAAATATCCTATCATTTATATTAACACTGCATTTTTTGGTTGTTGCGGCCTTTAGATTGGAACTGAGCCACAGATTTTAAAGTCTTGTTTCAGTCGAGTGTTACCTGATGTCAGCTGCTAACCAAACTGTGAGACAGCCGGACTCACACAGAGAGCTTATCCACAGCCGGACTCAGATAGAGAGCTTATCCGCTTGTTGTTGTCAACTGTTGGCCCACTGTAACAAATACCCCTGGACCTATAGGGTGATGATCATTAACCCAGCTCCCTTACTATTGAAATCGTTATTTTTTCTCGTGTAACATGCGTATGGTTTTAATGTTTTCTGCTGTCGGGGTTCAAATGTGTGATGTGCCCATTCTGTTCTCACCTGGATGCTGTGACCTATTCATGTGTCTGTCACAGCTCTGTGCCTTAAGACCAACAGGTTTTTTTCTGATTTGTTTCTCTTCATCTGTTCTAATTTCTTGCTTTCTAAGTAAGAAAGTATTTTTTTTAATACTCTTCAACAAATCAATTTTCCAAATGTTTTTATTTTTTTATTATGTATTTCCCTGTAAGAGTTAATGTGTACATGTTGCGAGCAATAAGATGTTGGCAGGGTTCATGAAATATCTGGCAAATATTTTATATTCAAACTGCAATTATTTTGGGACGTTTTATTTTTCATGTAAAAAATGTTATGGAATTATGTTTATATTTTTCTCTTTAATTTTAATTAAATAGCATTACCAATGGCAGAGTTTGAAATTGGTTTATGAACAAAGGGAGTGGATTTTATGACAAAATATTACAAACCTGATCATCTGGTTAAAAATTAGTTTAGAGATTTTCAAATTTTGAGGTTAGACATTGCATGAAGCACTGGCTGAGTTTTCACTCTTAAAGGCGACAACTGCATCATCCTCGACTTAGACCACGTCTTCCTGGCCGTTTGAGTGTGTCCAAAGGCTGAAGGTCTCCCCGGGGGATAAGCCCATGGCTATGTGACAGCCTAGCTCAGACTGCCCCACACATTCAGGCTCATCTTTGTGCAAATGGTCTGGAAAATATCTACTAAACAGGGGATGCATAGCAAGATCTATTTGGGTCACAGCGCCAAAGTTTCCATACACCATGTTGCAGCCACACAAAAAATTGAAATATCAAAACTAGTATTATTAGTAACTAAATGAGATAATGTGTTAACCAGTGGTTTTTAATCAATGTGTCACAACACACTGTTGTTTCAGGAAGGTTATAAGTTATAACTTATTTATCTGTCAAAGAAGTTTGATAAAATGAATAAAAAAAGAATTTAAAAACATAAATATTTTGTGCCATTTTAACTAGAAATTAAGTTGGAACCAGTAACAAAAGCATTAAATCTTAGATATTTCTATTATGTTCTAGGATGCTCCTCTTCACAAAGTAGCCTTAATTTTTTTTCCGTACTTAAATTGTGTGTTGTAGAGATTTTGGAGTCTCGGACATTAATTCATGAGCTAGTCAAAACAAAAAAATTCAGTATTGTCTCCTCCTTTTTTTCTCTCAGTATTTGCTAACAGTTAATTCTTACTTGTTGTTTAATTAATTGTTATTAATGTAATTTGACAAAAGAGATTAAAGACATGAATGAGAGGGCATTGTGGATAAATATTTTGAACTGTGGAAAATGTTATAGCAAATCAGGCTTTTTTATGTACATAAAATGTGATAGTTTCTTCTCCGTTCGACTGTGTCAAATTTCATGTACCAATAATGTAAATCTTGCATTGCCAATTAACAAAGTTAGAGTCCTTTTTTTTTTAAAGCTTCAATAAGCCATTTGTTGTCTGTTGTGAGAGATGTCATAGGAGCCAGAATGGTCAATCCATTGATCGTGGGCCCTCAAAATATAGAAGAAGAAGAAGATGCTAATTATTTTTTAAACCTTTAGTTGAGGGCTTTTGTATATTTTGTTTTCGTTTTGACTTTTAAAAATAATTTGTCTTAAAGTTATATGGTAAGGAGAAGTGAGCATGCCTTTAAACAGTCTTCATGAAGAGTGAAGCAATTTTCCTATATAGATACAAATGAAATTAAAACTCTGCACTTCTTTTTTACATATTAAATTCAGGTTTACTAGAGTAGAAACATTGGATGTAGAACTTTGGTGTAAATTTACCTTTTTATATCACAAGATAAATTTAGAAAAAATGAGGTTGTTATTTTTTGTTTTTTTTAAATCCACAGATTTTACTATTCATTTGCCCTAAAAATCAAAATTTGCCTTCTTTGTATATTGATGGTAAAATATGCAACAATTCTATTGCAGAGGATGCAGTTGTGTTATGTGTGTTGTACGGAGCTATTTACACTAAACTTTCATTTCCCCACTTGGACACTTTTTCTTCTTAATGAGTTATCGATATTCATTGATCATGATGGCTCTGTTATTCTCAGTGTAAAGTGTTGTTTTTTTTTGTGGATATTTCTTTTAATTTAAAAATATGTATGTATATATATTAAACTGGGCATTTATGTTTGTAATAAATTACTATTAAAAGCAAAATATTCTTTTAAGTACTAGTGTTGAAAAGTTTGTACGTCGTTTTTAAAAGTTTTCTTTAGCACCAGATCAACTGTTTTTACATTCTAACATGTGTGTAAAGTTCATTAAGTCAAGGGTTTGCCAATTATCTCTGTATAAGGGTTAAAAAGATGTTCCTCGGATAAAAGTTGTTTACATCAGGTTATATTTACTTGTTTGAAGGCTCTGGTTGACTTAATAGGTAGTTTAGCACTGGTCATTTTCTCTAAGTCACATTTATTGAACTAGATAAACTATCCCTAAACATTTTGACTGGTTTGTTCAAAGTCTTAAGAGTTTAGATTTTTTTTTATATTGTGTTCTTAATTTCTATGAATATTATTATTTCTTTTTACACCTTGAAGTTCTTTTTTAAACTATCACATGGTGTTTTTGAGTTCCACCATAGATATGTTATATTCTTCTTTTTTTTATTTTTTTGGCAGTCCTACACTGATACTATGACATTATGATGTAATTTCAAAGACAGGCCAAGGTATTTTTATAAAGAACCCAAAGTTGTTGTCGATGATCGACACATAGATTTTAACATTATTTAATGCTCAAATCCAGTTCCAGTGATATCGATCAACTTAAAAAGTTCTTAGGTGTATTTTTTTGGTTTATATGTCATGATTTAAATTGAACTCTTCAATTTAATTTTGTGTTGCGCAATTTTCTCTTTCCCCCCCCCCCCCCACCATATATCCATGGTCCATTATTTATTAACTGGTCTAAATTGTGCTCTTTTGTCAGCTAATTTCCCCAACTCAGTTCTTCACATAACAAATGTTTAACTATCGCAAAACAAGCGGCACTAAAAAATTTAGTAATATTTACTTACACACTTACTGTTATTGTACTTACTTTGGACTTAAGTACATTCTGGGATATCTTTTTATCCTGCATGATGAAACGGTTACTTAGTTTAACCATAGCCCTTTTTTAACAGAGTATTCTGTTTTCAATAATTTAGTTTAACCTGTAACCTGTTAACTCTCCTGAATATTGAAAAATTTGTCAGTTTGGTGTTTTTTGGGATATTGAAAATGTCCATCGTTCAATGCAATGGTTAGATATATTTTTTTTAAAGTTTATTAAATGCTTGGAATGATCAATCCAGCCTTGATTGTTTGTTAATGTGTTACTAGTCTCTCTGGCTCAGTCTAACCTAACTGTGCAGATAAGGGGACACAAAAGCACTTGTTGGTAATGTGTTACTGACAGATGGGACAACAATTATCCCTATGACGGCTTTGAAACCTTTAAGAAACTTTATGAAAAAGTTGGTACAGCAGGCCTATCTATATTATACTGAATCAAATGCTACCTCATTTATCAAATCAATATAGCTATTTCATTTAGCTCACCTCCTATTCCATGATTCAAAAACTATCAACTTATTATGATGAGTTTTCTATATTGGAGTCCCCTAGAATTGATAATGAATATATTTTACATGATAGAAGTAAAACAGCAATCAGCAAGGCTAATTACAAATTTTAGACTTTGCTATGAATTTAAAAAAACTTCTATATTAACATGCAACTCATAAATTGATCAGTTGCCTACTCCAAAAATTGATGTTGCCTACTCCAAAAATTGATAAGTTGCCTACTCCAAAAATTGATAAGTTGCCTACTCCAAAAGATTATGCGCCGTGTCGCATTTAAGGACCAAATGCTTTAAGGTCTTGAGTAACCAAATCTGTTTTAAAAAAGTTGTTATTTCTAGTGGTGCAAACGGTCACAGGGCATCTTTGAAAATGTATATAAACCATCATACCTGAAATCTTACATTTGAAACTACATATTGTGACAGCAACCTCTTATGGTCACAACCTGTTGAATCGTATCTCACTTTTAACGTGGGCAGAAAATATTTTTTTTACATTTATATAAGAAATAATAGAAAATTAAAATGGGTTTTAAAAACCTCAATTCTATCACAGCACTTGCAAATTAGCGGATTTAATTTATTACAGCACTTGCAAATAAGTCTACAATTAATTAATTTAACATCATAAAGTCAAAATCTAATCATCTCCTTTATGTTTACTGTAACCATTTATTAGTCTTTTTTACTCTAGCACTATCCTGACACAGAATGTAATTTGTAAGGTTTGCTACATGGAATTCCTAATTGGATGTTTTACATTACTGCGCACATCAAGGAAGAAGTATTGTCTTTCTTGGCCTTCTTACTGGGATTTCTACTACGAGATGTGCTGCTATCTGCCCTTTCCTTTTCACTCCGGCTTTTAGAAACATTCTTACGTGTCTTGCTACTCTTGCTCCAACCAGGACTAAACCTGTCGATGAAGCTCTTCTGTTCATTCCCACGCGTGGCACTTGCACTCCTGCTTGCGTCTGTGTCATGACGTCTTTGAGTTCGACTGGATCTCCTTGCGTTCTTGGCACCATGGTCCGAGCTGTGCCGTGCTGCCCTCTCTTCATGTCTCCTTTGTCTGTGGGTCGATGAAGAACGGGCTCTTCTGTGGTACCGATGCCGGCTGCCATGGCAGGAGCAACCAGAAGACTGGATTGGAGACCTGGATTTTTCATGTGAATGTCTTCTTCCCGGAGTTCTGTTTCTGCAATGTGTCCTTGAACCGGATGCGTTACTGTGAGAGTGGTTCCCTGTTCTAGGAGTACACACAAGAATAGGACTAGTTTGCAATTAAATAATTTAACCGCTTTTCTTTTCAGTCATATATCTTCAGCAGAAAGCAGGAGAAATAGAACAACTTTAGAAAAGTTGAAAATAACAACACATAACATATCTTAAGCTTTCAACTTTAATAAATTAATCTATCTGCTCTCAAATTGGTGATTTTTTTTTTTAAATCACTGCTGGAATTCACTCCTGCATGTATTGAGCTATTGTAAAGGTATTGTTACATAAAACTGAAAGTATAATTATGGTTCTCAGTGTCTCCATGTCTTTCTTACGTGGATGTTTAAAAACTAGATATCTAAGGAAAAGAAATGTTACGGAGGCTTGGACCAACCTATGATGATCCCGTGAATATTCTCTAGACACGCCAGTCCCTGAGCACACACTGTATGGACTTGACCTCCGTTTAGATCGCCTTGACCCTCTTCGAGAATGATGTGATCCTCTGCTACTACAGGCACCATCTGTAGGACACGGAGTAACACGATAGCGCGATGAGGGTGAACTTCCTGCTGATGCCTTTGGGAATAAAAATTTAATTTTTTCACAAAGTGGTTTACTGTGTTGTTTGGGTTAAAGGGTTGGGGATTGAGCTGACCGGGCCATATAATTTTTTTGGTCACTGCCTCCAGCCCCCACTTCTGAAACCACTGACATTTTTTTCCCCTGGACTGTCACTGGTAAGTGTTACGTCAGTGATATCAAAGACAAATGCCTTCTCAGTTTAAAACTGCTCTTATGAAAAGTATAGCCTTGCTGAAACAATTTTTAAAAGTTACATGCCAACTGTGAAAAAAATAGCAAAGGAAATGAGATACTTTCAAAGTATCGGGTAGTTTTACTATAACTATTTATTTATGATCCCATGACCAAGTGAGCAATTTATCAATACCACCCATTTTTGCTATGGTTTAAAAACATGGTGTTAACCTAGGAATAACTTACATACCTTTTTCTTTTGTTTCTTGCAAGCATTCTTTGCCCTTGGAGCCCTCCTTTGACAAGACGAAGATGAATTACTCCAAACAGAACCATTGGAATGAGAAACAAGACTCGAGTTTGAGGCTGACTTGTCAGACTGTCTTTTAGAAGATTCAAGCTGGGACTTCCTTCTGCGCTTCCTGCTTTTATCTGATGTTAATTCTGACTGCCAGAAATGGGTGCAAACAACAGGTTCTGTTACTCATTAAATAGACCCTGCTGTTTAAAATGTGGACAATATGCACTTCTCATCTATTATTACAAATTATTATTAACTAAGCCAATACAAATTTCTTGAGTTATTTATATTTTTTAATAAAATTTTATATTGTGTTTATATTTTAATTTTTTTTTAAAACAAACATTTGAAACATTGAGCACCAAGCAGATGAGAAAAACAGACCACATCAATCAATTTCATGATATTTTCCAGTTACAGAAAATTTACTATCAAGACATTTATAACACAACAACACTGATATGAAAAAAATATATATACATATAAAAAACTTAATGTAACTCTGAGTTTAGAAGATAACATGGGGAAATCTTCCTGTGGATGGAACTGCTGGAACAAAGTCAACTTTTCACATACCTGAGCACGTAAAATTAATGTCAATATTTTATGTACCTGAGCTTATAAAATTTATGTTAATTTTTCCCTTACCCGAGCGCTCAAAATTGATGCTATCGGCACTTTTATCACAGTGTATTCACTGCTGTCTGTTTTTTTAGGCCTCCCCCTTGGCCGCGGCCCGTTTGTGTTTCTCTCCCTTTGCGCACTACAATTTCCTGATCTTGCAGCATTTTCATTTAAGTCATGTGAAGTAGATGGTTCTAGTAATTTGGGGTCTACTGGCGGCAGTCTATGTAGTGTAATGTCAGTACTGCTTTTGCGTGAGGAAACCGGCGTGCTCTTGTTCAACTGTGTTAGAGATGTCTTTACTGGCCTCTTGTGCTTGCCTTGCTTCAACTTTGATTTCTGATTACATGTACAGACTTCACGTTCGTTTTGACCGACGTCTAGTTGTGTGCTGGGGATTTGATGTACCTCATGCACGGAGCTACCGCTTGATGTAGAATGAGGCCGCTTTCTAGGCATCCCCAACGTAAGTTGCTGTGGTCTAGTGAAAGAGTGAGAAAAATATGAGTTTTTTAAAACAGAATGACCACTTTTTCCATCATGTGTCTCCAATATAGAGATAATGACTGATACAATTGTATTTATATTAAAAGAAACATCCATAACTAATGAAAAAACATTTTTTCATACTACACCCCCACCCACCCCCCAAAAAAATATAATAATAATAATTGTACATCATTCAATTATGGGAAAGCCAAGGCCATTCCCACCCATTTTGTCATAAATACATACTAGCTTTCCCCCTTCTTCTAATCAACATATTTTAATTTTATATTACAACTTTTTGAGCACTTATCAAGAATTAAACTTTTAGATTCTAGATTGGTTGTAGGCCTATAATGTTCATTTCTATGTCAACCTTGATCTTTTAGTTTTCTATTTTTTATTTCACCAATTGCTAATTTCAAATCATGCCTGATGATTTTGTCAAATATGACATTTATTGAAACTTTTTTTTTTTTGTAAATAAACCCTTTTGTTTAAATAAACCCAGTTAAAATACTTGAGTCCTGTAGATGTTTTAAGGTTTATGGGGAAGAAAACTTGTGAATTTAGTTTAATTCATCAGAATCTACCATTTTAAAAAACATCCTTAGAACGGCACACTTGGTATGACTTATAGACATGTTTTATGATTTATGTCAACCATGACTTAGGCCTAAAGACTAATCTCAATCATGATTAACAGACTTTTGTCTTATGACTTATGAGTTATGTCAACATAATCATGACTCATAGACTTCTCTTTTCAGTTATGTAAATCATGACTAACACTTTTGACTTATAGGAGTCATGTCAATCATTACTTATAGACACATGTCTTATGTTAGGCACTTTGATTAAAATTTCAAAACATTTTTAAAAATATAAAAATACTACAGCTGTATAGAGCACATATAATGGTTTACAAAAACACCAAGATAAACTTTCTAGCTCAAGTGGTTCAAAAGTTATGAATTTTTTAGTAAGGACCTCAAAACCCCTTTTTCACTATGGGATTTTCCTCCACATTTCGTCACCCTCATATTGCAAATGTTTGTATGCCTATAACTTTGTTATAAAATGAGACAAAAATATGATATTTTGAGGGAACACAGTTAAATATGAGTTCTTCTAAATAAAGCCAAAAAATACAATATTAGTTTTTGTTAATATTCCGCAAAAAAATATTTTTAATCTTGATAATTTTCCTTATTAAAATATGCTGACTCGTCACTTACTTGTATTAATTAATTAATATTTTTTAAATATAAAAGTTTAAAATTTGCCTAATTTCATAATAATAATAATATTCTTTAGATATTAATTTCAAATTTTCTGTGGAATTGTTTAACTTTTATCAGTATAAACAAATAATACAGGGATTATTTGATTCACTTATATAAAATTGACAATTTTACTTTTTATTTTACCATTTTCTATGTATGTATTTTAGTCCCATTTGAATATGACCAAAAAATTAGTTATCTTGTTTCACAAATCAACATGTATCAACTTTGGCTGTTGATAGAAATTAAAATAAGTTCTAAGTCATTTGTTTGAGGTAAGTACAAGCTTTTATGGTTTTTCTTTAGTAAAAGCTAAGAAATTCTTGGATTACTGTATCAGAAAGTGTGTGATTTCTTGAAGAATACTGAGGATTATATGTTTCTTGTGGAATATTGTGATTTGTGTGTGAATTCAGGATATTTCAATATCAAAGGTAAGTGAATATTTTTTTTAAACATTTTTATTTTAAAATTTAAGAATCATAATTTCCATTAAATAATAAAATATGATTACATGGCCTAAAATATCATTAACTATAATAGTTAATTGTTTATTAATAGGTCTTGCAATAATAAGTTGGGATGGTACTAGACCTATAGTATGACACAGAAGACAATGGAGTCGGTTAAGCACTGGATGACAATAAACAAGCTCAAATTAAATGATGATAAGACTGAGCTGCTCCCCATCGCGACCGCTCAGATGCAAAAATCTGCAAATAACACTACATCCATTACTCTCTCAGGTGTGCGTATTGAGTTAGCTCAAACAGTGCGGTACCTGGGTGTCTACCTAGATGGAAGACTAACTTTTGAAAGTCATATTAACATGTTATATATATATATATATTTATTTAATTATTTATAATACTAGTTATCATACAATAAGGATAGGGCTATTTATCCCACTTCCCACATTTATGATCATACCGAGGTCCCTACTTATGTCTATGTCAATGTGAGCAAGAATTTATCAATCCATTCTCACACTACTCACACTTCAGTGTTTCCACAACTTTTTTCCCCCCACCGGTGCACCTAAAACCCACCCCCTTTCACCCCACTCACACACCCTCAACGTTCCTTGTATGAAACGTAAATAATATAAAATTAATAAAATAAGTCCTGTGTACAAAACCTACCTTGAGACCAGCAACCTCTTTGAATTCTTTGCCACTCCAAGTCTCAGTTGGGGCCCAGTAATTTAAAGCTGATAAGCGATCTTTCATTGTTGTTAAATTTTATTATTTTTTTTATATTAGGTTTACATATTCTCGTTGCGTTGTTGCAATTTCCTGTGACACAGCAAAATATGTGCACCTATAGTGAATGCTATTGCAACGAGAGTAGACCTACGAATCAGTACACAACGAAATTACGTCATCTGTTTTTTCTTGTTTAGTGAAATAGTGAAATCTTCTGACTGAACATTTATGGATTTATGGGGAGTTGGGATTATAGGCGAACTGCCAAACGGCGGTTGAATTAACCTATCAGTTTAAAGTTAGAGTTTAGAATTAGAGCGATGGTAAATCAAATAAAAGAGCATGTCGTCTTTAACCACCTTGGTCAGCTCCATTTTAAAAAGTTTCCTACGAACTTATGTGATTCTCTTAAACTTTAGGGCGAAGAGTTACTCAAATTTCCGTCACCCTTTGCACACAAATAAAAACAACAACAAATGACGATTGGGCTCTCATTTAGTGACTCGGCCATGACGAACTTCCTTTCTTCAATTCTTCTATGCATTGTTTTTGTCAGGGATTTTATTTATTTGTAGCCTACACCCGAACGACCCAATCATAACATTTTTAGCGTTGAAAAAAATAAAATGGCTCACAAGCGCTACTCTACACTCCTAGCAGTGACGGAGTTTTTTCGGATCAAATTTAAATCATTTTTAATTTCACTTTAAAAAATTCAACGAAACTCTTCTTAAATAGAATTATCTTCTCTAAAAGACCTCCATTCTGTCTACTGTTGGGGAGTTGTACTTCTCAACGGCAAGAAAGGCTGCTTTCCATAATACAATCGTTCTTGATTCTTAGTGCTCTTGTCTGATAGCGACCCTCGGCATGAACTCTCAGTGTTCTTGTCTGTTAGTGACCCTCGACATGAACTCTTTGTGTTCTGGTCTGTTAGTGTCCCTCAACATGAACTCTCCTCAACGGCAAGAAAGACTGCGACCAAGATGTGGAAACTACGCGCTAAAAAACAGAGTATCAGAACGATAATCTACACTGCTTGGCCAACGTTATTAGAAAGCACTTACAGTTGATTCACTTGGACCATACTGGGCAGTGATGGTCGATGTATCAAAAGATGCATCTCACAAAGAACAACTGAACTTCGTCATCAGATCCACTTCACCAGATGGTTCAGTTTGGGAAAAGCCTATAGGTACTTTTCAAATGGAAAAGGTAGATGATACGTCTCTGGCAATTGCTATCAACAATGCAGTTCTGGAAAACAAATTATCATTGGGTAAATGTAGTGCCCAGTGCTATGACGGTGCTTTAGTGATGAGTGGCAGCCTTCGAGGTGTTCAGGCAAGGATTAAAGAAATAGCTCCACAGATAGTCTACACACACACTGCCAACACAGATAGTCTACACACACACTGCCATCACAGATAATCTACACACGGTGCCATCACAGATAATCTACACACACACTGCCATCACAGATAGCCTACACACACACTGCCATCACAGATAGCCTACACACACACTGCCATCACAGATAGCCTACACACACTGCCATCATAGATAGGCTACATACACTGCCATCACAGATAGCCTACACACACACTGCCATCACAGATAGCCTACACACACACTGCCATCATAGATAGCCTACACACACTGCCATCATAGATAGCCTACACACACTGCCATCATAGATAGGCTACATACACTGCAGTGCCCATTCTGAATTGAGTCTTAGTCAACGTGGTTAAAAATATGGACGAGGACGTTGACATGTTTTCCATCATACAATCGTTCTTTGTGTTCTTGTCTGTTAGTGACCTTCGACATGAACTCTTTGTGTTCTTGTCTGTTAGTGACCTTCGACATGAACTCTTTGTGTTCTTGTCTGTTAGTGACCTTCGACATGAACTCTTTGTGTTCTTGTCTGTTAGTGACCTTCGACATGAACTCTTTGTGTTCTTGTCTGTTAGTGACCTTCGACATGAACTCTTTGTGTTCTTGTCTGTTAGTGACCTTCGACATGAACTCTTTGTGTTCTTGTCTGTTAGTGACCTTCGACATGAACTCTTTGTGTTCTTGTCTGTTAGTGACCTTCGACATGAACTCTTTGTGTTCGTGTCTGTTAGTGACCCTCTACATCAGGGGTCGGGTACCTATGGCTCGCGAGCCAGATGTTGCTCTATTGATGGCTGCATCTGGCTCGCACACAAATGTTCGATTATAAAAAAAAAAAAAAGTTTCTTTAGACTCCTTTGATTAGCAACACCATAATAATGTTATTAAAAAGAATCAGAGACATAATTATTGCATTTTTAGGGTTGAAATTACACAAAATTCGCACATTTACTCTAACTTTTAGTTTTAAATATAATGTATGGCTCTCACAGAATTACTTTTCAAAATATGCGGTGTCCATGGCTCTCTCAGACAAAAAGGTTCCCGACCCTGCTTTCCATGAACTCTTTGTGCAAGCAAACATGTCAGGTTCGATCATCTATAATTAAGATGGCCATATAGTATTGGAGAGCCAAAATTTTTATCAAATTAAACACACGGATAACAACATTAGCGAAATTTTCTGGACATCATTTTGTTTCAAAGAAATATGTATGATCCTAGCCGGATTTGTAACGCTCGAGGTGATCCTTGATTTATTCGCCCCCAATTAACTAAAACGGCAATGCATATGGAATATTTGTACCAAAAAAAGCTATATAAATTATAAAGCATTTGAAGTGGACCGAAAATGACGCCCCAAAATAGGGACCGCCCCCTCTTCCTACGTCCGTGGCTCCCCAGAATTCCAATGGTGTCGAGAGTCATCACTGCAGTACGATGGGTTGAGTACCAATGTTATTTATTTAATGCCACTTTAGATGTGTGAACAATTTTAATGCCCAAGCAATAAAAAAAAAATAATAATAATTGTATACATAACCCTTCAGAATAAATTACAGTTCATCATAATGTCGTAATGTCTAATGAATAATAATTCTATGAAAAATTAATAATTGACAATAATCATATATTAATCCTATTAATTATTGGATGAACATTTATCACATGGGGTCGTTCATAAAGTACGTGAGTGACCTCCAATGACCCTTGAGTGACCTCTGCTGGTCAAATTCAAATCTTGCATCACAATTTCGACCCACTTCCTGATCTCCAATTATGGAGCTGAAAGATTGTACACTTACAATCGGCCTACTATGACAATACAACCAGGCTATACGCGATGAGAATAAAGACATAAAGGTACAAAAAAAAGTTTTTTTGATACACCAGTTTTCTGTTTTTGTTGTTATACATATTAGGCCCACAACTGTGGGCCCCCCTTAAATATCCGAGGCGCCCCCCCCCCCCTTTGCCCCCCCAGGGTTGCATGGTCCTTGCGACGACTTTATTTATCATAATTGATGTCCTGCAGTTAATGTAAATAATTTTAGTAAATTTTTTTAATGATTTATCTAAATTGTTACGTATTTTGTTGTTGTTTTTTTAAACTCGGGAATCTATCAATTATGGCTTCTTAAATGTTGAGGCCACTTAGATATTGGGGGTCCTGGTCGCCTACTTAGCCTGTAGGGAATTTGGCACTAGGTATAGCTAATAATACATTGCTCATTTAAAGATACATAATTTCATTATTAATTTTTTTTTAAAATATTGAAATAAACTGTTCACGTGATCTAAAAGACTACGGCTTTCAGTCCAGACACATGAAATAGACCACTGTACGGACGGTTTGGTTCTCAAAAGGCGTTTGAATAACTGTTAACCCTTTGCAAACCTTTATTATTTAACAGTAAAAGAATGATTAGTAAATTAATAAAAATCAGGTTGAAAAAATCAACAACCAAAACCGAATCTCTCTGCTTGTTTATTTGTCTTCATATTTTAATATAAGATGAAACTACCAAGGGGACTTGTTGTTTTGGAGGAGAACATAGTGTTAGAATTTCTACAAGCAGCCTAATGTGGGGTGCAGGCAGAAGTTGCTAATAGGTGCTCACATGGTACTCAGTCTTTGGGATCCGTTTATATCACATGTAATACTCAGTGTTTGGGATCCATTTATATCCCGTGTGGTACTCAGTGGTTCGGGCTCCGATATCGCACTTGGTGCTCGCTATCTAGGGTCCAGCGTCTCACAGGGGGGAACTTCGTGCTTTGGCTCGGATATATAGCATGGCGCTCAGGCGTCCCGTGGGACTCAGTACTTGGGAAGTAGCTTGATGAAGACGATGGCCATAGCGAACAGGGTGACAGCTACGTACACGTCGATCCTCACTCCCCCCTCCACCGGTTCGTATGAGATAGTAGACCTGGAAGTAGGGATGGCAACAGAGTTAGATGCAGACTACAAAAGACATTCATTTCCGACTACAAAAGACATTCATTACTGACAACAAAAGACATTCATTTCTGACTACAAAAAGACATTCATTTCTGACTACAAAAAGACATTCATTTCTGACTACAAAAAGACATTCATTTCTGACTACAAAAGACATTCATTTCTGACTACAAAAGACATTCATTTCTGACTACAAAAGACATTCATTTCTGACTACAAAAAGACATTCATTTCTGACTACAAAAGACATTCATTTCTGACTTGAATTGGTCAAGGGTTAAGAGCAGTGTTTCCCAACGTAGGGCGTTCGCCCCACCCGGGGCGGGGGGGGGGTGTTGTTGTTGTTTTTGAGTTTTCGGGACATTTAATCTATGAGTTAGGAAATCTATTTACATTTTAAGCGGAAAATGCAAGACAAAGGGAATGTCAGCCCCGGGTGCCAGCCTCAGAGAAGGGTGTGGGGCACCAAACTCGTAAATTACCCATATATATATATATATATATATATATATATATATATATATATATATATATATATATATATATATATATATATATATATATCTATATATAGTATAAATAGCCTCAGTAACATATAACTTGTATATGAGTGATCTCAAATACCTTCCACAACACCATCCAAAGTATTAATCAATATGGACCTTAACTTAACTGACGTCCCAATTCTTATTGGAAGATACTTATTAAATAATACTGGCCTATGTGTACCCGGTATACATGGAAAATTTAACAGATGT